TTACTCTTAGACAACTTCCGTATATAACATACAGCCGTGTGAATTATGTGTGTCATGTTGTACTGTGTATCCCTAGCACCCATTTATCTTATAACTGGAATTTTTACACCTTTGACTGCCTTCTTCCAGTTCCCTCTCCCCCGAGCCCTCTCCTCTGGTAACCACAAGTCTGATCTCTTCTTCTGAGTTTGTTTTTGAAGTATGATTGACCTACAACACTATTTTGGTTTCTATTACACAACATAGTGATTTGATATTTCTATACATTTTAAAATGATCACCACAATAAGGCTGGTTGTCATCTGTCACCAGAGATGTTTCACAGTTACTGACTCTTCCCCGGGCCATATGTGTCCGTACCTGTAACTCACTTGTTTTGCAACTAAAACTTTGTACCTTTGAATCTCCCTCACCCGTGTCTCTCCTCCCCCGCCCCCTTTCCCTCTGACAACCACCTGTTTGTTTTCTGACCTATGGCTCTGTTTTGTTTTGTTTGTTCATTTGTTGTGTTTGTTAGATTCCACACATAATTGAAATCATACCGTATTTGTCTTTCCTTGCCTTACATCACTTAGCACAATACCCTCTAGGTCCAACCATGTTGCCACAAATGGCAAGATGGCATTCTTTTTTATGACTGAATAACATTCCATTGTATATATATACACACCACATCTTTTTATCCAGTCATTTATTGATGGGCATTTAGGTTGTTCCCATGTCTTGGCTATTGTAAATAATGCTGCTGTGAACATTGGGGTGCATGTATCTTTTCTAATTAGTGTTTTCATTTTCTTTGGAGAAATACCCAGGAGTGGGATTGCTGGATCACATGGTAGATCTGTTTTTAGTTTTTTGAGGACTCTCCATCCTGTTTTTCTAGTGGCTGCACCAATTTTCATTCCCACCAGCCAGGCACAAGGGTTCCCTTTTGTCCACGTCTTCACCAGCACTTGTCACTTGTTGTCTTTTTGAGAATAGCCCTTCTGACAGGGGCAAGGTGACCTCCCGCTGTGCTTCTGATTTGAGTCTGCCTGGTGGTTAGTGATGCCGAGCATCTGTCCCTGTGCCTGGTGGCCGTCTGCATGTCTTCTCGCTTCTCACACTAGACGTTCTAGGCTGAGCTCGTCCTTTTCGTACTCCAGTTGTGGAATCCATCCCTTTCCGCAGGAATCCCCACTTTCTCAAATACTAGTAGGAAGGTATTTAGAAACCGAGACCTGGAATTAAAAGTGCCGGTTTCTCCTGGAGCATTTCAATAGACAGAGGTAGGAAATATGTTTGTAAAAGATAAATTTGTGCTGCCAATTCCAGTTCGTATTTAACATGACAGGGTTCTTGCTTTACTTTTATTTTTCACACTGCAAATCTTGATTCCTAGTAACATTTACCTGTTTACTTACTTGGTTTGTGTTACAGTTTATAAGAATGATTTAAAATTACAGTACTGAATATTAGTATGAATAATAAAATCGCCGAACACACTTGCTTTTCATTTGACAAACAGAACTATCCAGGCTTCTTTTCTTCTGTGATGTTTCAGGGTCATTGCACAAGGCTATCTTTTCCCTGTTCTGGATGATGATAATGAAAGCTTTCATTTATTAATGCTAATTACGTGCCAGATGTGGAACTAAGCACTTTGTGTGCATTATCTCTGCTCCACACCACAGACCTGCAGAGACAAGACGCCCACCAGCTGCACTGTTTCCCAGGCCCTGAACCACAGCCGAGGACAGGGTTAGAGAGGAAGGTCATGATCTCTGTAATAAATATGCTGGGACCCACAGGCTACCCAGACGTAGCACGTGGCCTCTGCTAGTGGCGTCCAAAATGTCCTTGTTCCTGCGATGCCTTTGCCAGAGCTGGCACATACCTGCGTGTGTTTTCATCTGGTCCCTCTGATGAATCTTTATCTTTTGAATCTGCCCCCATGTTTTTATATCATATTATCAGTTTGGTTGTCTTTTTGGTTGTCAAAAGCAGGGAGAGTCTGGGAAGCTGGCACAGCCAAGAGAAAGGAGTTGCCTACAGAGACGTGGTGGCTAATGTAATGTGGGATGGGATCCTGAAAAAGAAAAGGAGGATAGGTAAGGGAGGAAATCTGAATAAAATGTGGACGGCAGCTCATAACTGTGTATTAATATTAATTCAGTAAATGTACCATAGTAATGCAAGGTAGTAATAATAGGAGAATTCTGGTGTCGGTCATATGGGAACTCCATGCTATTTTCACAACTTTTCTGTCAATCTAAAAATACTCTAAAATAAGTTTATTTTTTAAAAATTTTTAATAAAGAAAAAGATGACTTGGTTTACCAGTCACATGAAGAAAATCAATGACATGAAAGTTAAATGGAAAGAATGACCCCAGAGGATACAGAAACAACATTGTTAGAAACGAAAGAGATTGTTACATAGACTCCAGTTAGTGCCCTGAGAGAATATAAGACACTGCATCCACCAAACAAGAAGAGAATGCTCCCGAAAAGGAACAATCTGAAGACATCAAAGAATTTTTAGAGACTAAATAATTACTGAAATTTTAAAAATTCACTGAGAAAAGTTAGAAGATAATGTCAAGGAAATCTCTTAGCATGTAAATTAAAGACAAAGGCGAAGACAGACCATGTGAGAGAAAACAAGAGGCATGAAGAATCAATCCAAGTGGTCAGTCGACTAACAGGACTTTCAGGTCCCTACGAGGAGAAATGTAATCTAGCCGACGCCTTCTCCCTGTGGTGACCTGCGGTGACGCAGGCATGACAATGACCTGTAACTGACGGGCTTCAGCATTCAGTGCCTGTCTGTAGACAAAGCTTGGAATAGGGGTTCCTGAAGAGTAGTTCCTGTAAATGTTATGAATATTATGAACCACGACAAAATGAAATAAAGGTCCATCTGATAGAATTGGGGAGGTTGGAAATGGAAGAAGAGCAGAAGGAAAGAAGGTATTATAATAATATGCACATCGTATGGGGTGAGGAACTGAGAAATTAGAAATAGAATTTTCAGTGTATTATTTAAAAAGTAAATAGAAGGCTAATAGGATACCCAAAAATAACATAAAAATTTTAAAGTTGGAAAAAGAGGCTTTGGGAGACAAGTGACCCCAAATCCTTGTCTTATATAATAGGACAGGAATAGAGAATTTCTGAAACTGGCAGGTGGGAAGTGGCGCTATGAGCTTCTTCTGTAGAACCGAAAGGCGAGTCTCACAGGGACTAAACGGCCGACAGAGGCAGCGCCCGGGGTGGAGGAGCGGAGTGGGGCAGTGTTGCTTTCTTTGTGAGCGCCCCACTGCTTTATTTTGGTTTTTGCTGTGTATATGTATTACTTTAATTTTTAAGGATTATTTTTTGATGAGCTATTAATAGTGTCCAAGGGAGAAGTAATGAGGACAGTTGGAATGGAAAAGGCAGAACAGATGGGAGGCACTGCAGAGTAAAACCAGCGCTTGGTGAGTGACTCAGCGCGGGGGCAGGAGAGCGAGCTGAGAGATGCACGTCAGGTGTGGAGCCGAAGCTCCCAGAGGAGAGAACGGGCGGTCACTGGGGCCAGTTCGGGAGGGAAGACGCAGCACAGGATGGTTGTGACAAAAAGTTGCCAGTGTTCTTATAGGAAGAATATAAACTTCTTTTAAGTCTGTGAAGGATGTAGGGTCTTTTCTGTTCAGAGGCTGTTGCAAGAACCAAGGAACAGTGCCTCTGGCTTCCAGATACAAAACAGTCTTTCCTGCTCTTCCAAGATTCCCCGTGAGAGATACCGGAGCTGCTGGCAGCGCCCAGAGCGGCAGAGGGCGGGGTCCTCTGGGTGCCAGAAGCTCACCTTTGCACTCGCATTGGAGTTTTCCGTCACCTCCCCGGGGCTGCCCACCTGCTCCAGAATCCCTGGCTAACTGCCTGTGTGCTTACCAGGTGCAAGTAACTGATGCGGGGCACCCCCAACACATTATGGGTCGTTTACTGAGAGGCTGTGTGCAAAGAAGGCGAGCTTCCCGGGCAGAGTGTCTCTTGGTGCGCGGGCCCAGGTGGCAGTCCTTCCGGAGGCCCGCGGTTTGATTCTGGACACGCTGATGTTGAAGCAACACCCCCCGACGTGGAGACGTCAGGCAGGCAGTTAGAACTGAGGACTGGGGCTCAGGAGTGGGGCAGGATGGAGGCTGGAGGAGAGCAGATTCGAATGCGGTGAGCTGTAGAGGTTGCCAGGGATGAAGAGCCAGGAAAGGTCGTTGGGGAATACCCACATTTAGACGCGGGAGGAGAAAGAGGAGTCTGAACGGGCAGTCACATGGGGAGAAAGACGAGGGAAGAGCAGGTCAGAGAAGCCGGGGGAGGGCACAGGGAGGTGGCCAGCTGTGTCCCGTCCCGCACGGGGCAGGAGACCAGGATGGAGGCAAAGCAGCACGGAAATGTCCGTAGATGTGTTTTTGTTTTTGTTTAAATAATCTTGATTTCAAAAGCTTGATTTCTTAACTAGTTGGGGGCAAAATCTATCCCCTTGGGGCCCTATGATCACTGCCTTTGAGGAGTCCAGTTCAGATGTGACCCAGAACAGTTTCCTAGGGCTGCTGTGAAAAGTACCACAAACTGGGTGGCTTGGAGTAACAGAAATGTATTGCTTCACAATTCTGGAGGTTGGAAGTCCAAAATCAAGGTGTCAGCAGGGGCTGGCTGCTTCTCAAGGTGTTAGGGAAGGGTCTGTTCCAGGCCTGTCCCCTACCCTCAGGTGGTTTGTGGTCAGTCTTAGACATCCTTGACTTCTGCTGCCTCCCCCCCATCTCTGCCTTCATCTCCACGTGGGGTGCTGCCTGTGAGCGTGTGGATGAGGGCCCGCTCTACTCTGGTGTGACCTCATCTTTAACCAGATACATTTACAAGACCTTTTTTCCAAATACAGTTGCACTTTGGCATATGGGGATTGGGACTTCAACATGTGAAATGGGGGGGTGGGATACTGTTCAACCCGTAACGCCCCACGTCTCCTTCCCGTGGTCTCAGTGGCGCCACGACGAGTGGGGGCGAGAACGAGCGTGAGGACCTGGAGCAGGAGTGGCAGCCCCCGGACGAGGAGCTCGTCAGGAAGCTGGTGGATCAGATCGAATTCTACTTTTCTGATGAGAACCTGGAGAAGGATGCCTTCCTGCTGAAGCACGTGAGGAGGAACAAGCTGGGCTACGTGAGTGTCAAGCTGCTCACGTCCTTCAAGAAGGTGAGGCCGCTTTGAGGGTTTGGGGGGCGCTCTGGGTGGGGGCTGTAAATGCCATTTACCCCCTTGAGACCTAGCAACTGACAGCTTATTTCCTCTGGGCCCTGAAAGGGAGGAAAACGATCCGGTGGGGGGTCAGTGTGGTTACTGAGAACACTTCCCGCACTGGTAAAGGGTCCGGGGCGCCAGGACGGATCTCAGCTGGTGGCAGCTATGAAATGACATGACTTGCTCTCGGTACAGTCTAAGCACTCTTGCCGGGCAGGTGGGCGGCCAGGAGAACGCCGCGCCAGGACGGGGGCTTGGGGCCTTGGGAGACGCCTGCCAGGCCTAGAGCGAGGCGAAATCCAAGCTTTCATTTGTCAAGTTGAATAAATAAGACGAGCAAGGAGCTTCGGGACATGTGCCTCCTCCAAGACTGTGGCCGCCCTTGCTGCGTCATGCCCCCGTCCTCCTCTCTAGGATGGAGACGTGGGTACCTCCTGCTCGCTGCTGTCAAGGCAGCAGCCTGCGTTCCTCTCCTACACAGATCTAGCAGTTGGGCTGTGAATTCCCTACTTCTTGAGGAGCTGACAGGCCAGTTGGAGTAGAAACAGTGTGTCTCCCATGGAGAAAGTGTGTTTACTAGAATGGAAAAGCCCACGCGGCCTGTTGCATAATGGGATGTGTAACAAGTGGGTCCCAGCCAAGTTGCTTGTGCACTTTGTCAGCAAGTCACGGAGAGGGCCCCCACCCAGCTCTTCTCTGCCTCACCTGCTGGTGCATTCTGCCCTCTCCTCTTGATCTCTCTCCTTTATTCATTCATCGAACATATTTGTTCTATATGCTGAGTGCTGTGTTAGGTACAGGATATGCAAAATGAATGTATTCCCCCCGCCCTGGCAAAGTCTGGAGAACTGAGGAGTCTGCCCAGAAGTGGTGACCTTGAAATGGGATCTCGGAGGGTGAATAGCAGCTTTCAAGGTATAGGAGAAGGGAACGGGCATTTTGCATTTTAAAGGAAAAACTGACTTTCTCCTTGTAATACTTCTGACACCAAATGTGGGAGAGGTTTTCCCCACAGCAAACAATTCTGTGACACCAGCTGGGGGTCCTGATTCTGACACAGTCTGTGTGGAGTCAGCACAGGTTAAAGGTTCGGTCCCACAAGGGTGTCCCCACTTTGGATGCCAGTGAGCAGTAGCGCATCCCCGGGGATCCACAGCTCTGCCCAACTTGGGTACAAACTGCCAGTTCCTGTGACCCCTGCCCCCTTGGATTCGACTATCTGCTAGAATAGTTCACAGCACTCAGGGAAAAACTTGATGACATTTACCCATTTATTAAAGGACACAATAAAGGACACAGGTGGGCTGCCAGACTCAGGGATGTCCCGAGTGCAGGAACTTCTGTCCGCCTTCAGCTGGGCTGTGACACCCTCCGTAGGTGGGTGTGTTCACCAACCCAGAAGCTCTCTGAACCCTGTACTTTTGGATTTTTAGGGAGCCTCCGTCGTGTCGTCATGATCCATTATTGACCCCTTTTCCTGCCCCTCCCCTCCTCTGGAGGATGGAGAGGCTCCAAGCTTCTGTCATGGCTGGTCTTTCTGGTGACCAGCCCCCGTCCTGGAGCCTACCGAGTCGCCTCGTTAGAACTAAAGGTGCTGCTTGTGCGCACTCCTGTCACTCGGGGATTTGTAAAGGTCTTAGGAACTCGTGCCAGGACCAGGGATGAAGTATCCCTGGAAGAAACATCCATATTTCTTAGCGTAAATCACAGCATTGCACGTGTCCAGAGAAGAGCGAGGAAGCCCCCAGGTGGACAGTGCTTGTGGGGGACCCGAAATGAAGCAGCCAGTGGGAGCGTCCTGTCTGTCCCCTTACCCCTCCCTGAAAGTAAGCCTGCATTTCTTTCCTTTTAAAGCTGCCACTTACTGGATCTATTTAGGAGGGTTCTCCTCTGTTGAAAACTGGCTGCAGAGCAGACACAGCTCTTCCAAAATGACAGCAAAGACCCTTTTCATTCTACAGGCTTCCTGCCAATCATAATGGAAACGTATTTGACAAAGGTAACAAACAGGGCGACCGTAAACTTTCAGAAAGTCTTGCCAAGTTCTTCTTGGAACCGCATAAAGACTGCAGCTCCCTGGGTCCTCGTCCTAGGTGACGCCCAGGCCCTCCTTCCCTAGCTCACAGAGCCAGGCCTGGGATGCTCAGACCTACCCGAGGGCTCCTGGTGGCCCTTGCTCCTGGCGCTGGAGGGGCGCTGGGTCCTGCTTCTCTCTGGATCGGCCATGGCTTCCAGCAGCTTCTCTAGCCCTCTGAGTACGGCCCTGGCCCTCCCCCAGGCACTCCTTGCTCAGGTTCCCCCTGCTCTCCTGAGTGCTTGCTCCCTGACTGGTGATGGAGAGGCAACCCCACCCCCACGTCTCACCCCGACTGAGCCATTGCATGGGTGCCCCACGACCTGGAATTGTCCTGTGCTCATCTTCTTCACCTTTCCTGGACCCCTCATTGACTCTGTCCACCTAAAGTCCGGCCTTTGCCTGGACCTGCTTCTCTCGTGGCCGGTGTCACAGTGATCAGATCAAGATTCTGTGTGTAGGTGACTCATGGTTCCTGCACCCTAAGCCCCAGTCTGGGCCGTTTCATCCAGAGGCCACAGGCTACAGTGGACAGTGTCCTCTCTCCAGGAGCCAGCCGGTACTCCTGAGAGCCCTGCCGGGATGCCCCGCTCCCGCCCTGCTGGGGAGCTTCCCTTCCTGGGTTCCGGGAAGTTCCCGTTCGGGTCAGGGTGGGTCTGCAGAGGGACTGCCCTGGCCTGGCCTCGGAGGACTT